GACAACATGCATGAAGAGGATGATGTGGACAAAATACTCATTTGCCTAATAATTCTGCACTCCCTGTACAGTACAGTGAAGGCTAAGTAGTTTAACAAGACGTTTTAATAACTGACCACAAAAAGGAACAGCAATGATCTAAAAACCCCAAATGCAAGTGAAATCAATCAACAACAGGTGAAGACAATTACAGCAAAGCTGGCAATCTCAAAGGAAGGAAAAACAAATGCAAACTAGAATAAGAACAACAAAAAACAAACCTTCAAAGTAAAACAGGAAGTAACCAAAAGACAAAAGGCACTAACAGGAAGTTGAAACACAAGAAGGAAGAGACAGGAAACACTGAGGGAACTGAAACTACTATTATTAATTATGATCAAGACATGAACCAAAACACAAGGACACAAAAACCCAGGACCATGACAAAAGTTCTTCAATGTAAAGAAACACCAAGAGGAACGTCATTAGTGGGAGCTAATTAGGTTAATTAGGAAGATGGTTAGGAGGAAAACGAGTGGCCCAGATTGGCTTTAAGAATTATGGACAGGGAGGGGTTCAACAGCTTCATAATAACATCTTGCAAAGTAAAATTACAAAGAATTTGAGGAGATGATCATCTAACGCACATAATCTCATTAAAAGATTAAGAGAAACCAGAAAATATCACTGGGTAGAAATTGCTTCACAGGCTTACAGAGACTTCAGTAAGTCACTGCCAGCGGACACAGTTTGTTGCTGAGAAGTCTGCCATGTTAAGAAAGTAACCGTGTGCACTCGTGCACATAATACATGCTGTATCAAAAAGATTCATCTGATTTCAAAAGGCTTTTTTTTTCAAGTAATGGACATAGAAGTGCAAAGATTTCAAGATGTGTCTTCATCTCCATACCTCGCGGGGCAGCTCTGAGAGGAAGTTCTCATCGGCAGCGAAGGTTCTCAGGCTGTGCAGGTAGCCGATGGTGGGAGGCAGCGACTCCAACTCATTACAACTACAGTCCAACTCCTCCAGTAGAGACAGACTGAGTGGAAGGAACAAAGGCAGGAAGGAAGAGGCAGAGAGAGCATGACAGAGATAGAAAGGAAATCATTCTGCAGGCAACACAATCTCTTCTGTAACATTAAATTACTCAGACATGAAAGAATAAGAATTGCAGTATTCGTTATTCCTACAGCTGTCAACACATCATGTGATAAGACTGAAACAAGGAATGAATGGATGGGGGGTGGGGAGTACTGTATATGTATCCAAAGCCTGATATATATTTTTTGTTTGAGCAATAGAGTACTATTGTTGTCCAACACACACATCATTAAATGAGCCTCATCATTTAACTTGGTGACACGTCAGCCTCACACACTATCACGATAAATTAAAAGTGTATTAAAATAGTGTGTTACCTCACTTAAATGAACATTTGTACAGAAGGTATATCTCTGAGGCATTTACACACAAAATGTTTTCAAAGTTTTTTGCTTAGGTTTGTGCTGGAGTAAGCTCCACAGACATGTTTACCTAGTTTCAGACTTTTCATGGGATTTGTTGACAGCAACAAACACGACGACTGTCAGCTGCCACATCTTTAAACGTGTTATGATGAAAAGGAAAATTTGCACCAGTTAATAAGTGGCGAGTGTTGAGAGAGAGGGAAAAGATCAACACATTGAAGAATCCATCAATCAATAAATGACTTAATATGAATTTGGCCTCATTTGATGGCCACCCATCTCATCCCCTTTGGGTATCTTAAAATTCTTCAACCTGGATCTCAATTTCTCCACTCCACTCAGTTATTCAGCAAGATCCACAGCAGGCCCACTACAGGACACTATGACCGCCCCCTTTGACTGCCATCATTGTCCTAGCATCACGCTAACAGCAGGCTAATGCTAATGAGACAACAATTTTACATTAATGTACTGTCACTGTTAACATTGCATTAGTCTGCTATTATTATTCCCGATAGACCGGACCATCTGGGCCACCATACGGTCTGACAGGAAGGAAAAGGATAGGAGAGGAGACAAGAGGAGAAAAGAGGAAAGGACTTTCACACCCCACATTTAACTTCAAGTTTTTTTCTTTTAGCGTTGCTTGTGTTCCCAATCACAAGATTATAATCCTCCTTTTCCAAGGACAAAAAAAGAAAAAAAACCTCAGTTCCCTCTGGTTTAAATACTCAAGATGCACATTCATAGAAGCATTAGTCATGAGCAAACAAGTTAAGATGCGTAGTAAAAATATAAAAGGATACACTCACCAATCACTTTATTGCGTATACCTGTTCAACTGCTTGTTAACGCAAATATTGCAGTTACTATGCAAATATAATCAGTGCATTTTGGCATATAGACATAGTCAAAACGCACTGCTGCCCAAACCGAGCATCAGAATGGGGAAGAAAGGTGATTTATGGAATTTGAAAATGGCGTGGTTATTGGTGCAGGACAGAAACTTTAGAAACTGCTGATCTACAGGGGTTTTCCCAAGCAACCATCACTAGGGTTGACAAAAATCATCCAAATTCAAGGAAATATCCAGCAAGTGGCAGTTCTCTTGGTGAAAATGCCTTATTGATGTCGGTGGTCAGAGGAGAATGGCTGGGCTGCTCCGAGCTGATAGGAAGGAGTCAAATAACCACTCAGTACAACCGAGGTATGAAGGGCAGATGGGCTATAGAAGCAGAAGACAACACTGAGTTCCCCTTCTGTCCACAATTTACACGAGCTCACCAAAGTTGAAGACTGGAAAAACATTGCCTGGTCTGGGGAACATTTTAATGATAATGTCAGAATAAAATTCCACTTTGTTTTGTATCAACAGTTCAGTGCCGTAGGTGTAATGATTTTTAGGCTATATTCTTGACACACTTTGGTAAACATGAAGCTGTCTGTTACTAATCTCTGAGGAATGTTTCCAGCAACTTGTTGAATCTTTACCAAATGTGAAGGCAGTCAAAAGGGGACTCAACTAGCAAGGTGTACCTAATAAAGTGACCAGTGAGTGTACACTGCCATGATGGCACCTTTCTTATGTCTAATGTAGCAGAGGCTTTAAACATTTTAAGACTTTAATAAGCAAAACAATAACAGTACTAGTACCAGCAGCAGTATTCATTCTATTTATTTATGTTCTATGTGGATTCGACACATATCCAGTAAAGTCTATATGCAGTATTTATTCTACATGGAAACTGAAACATTGGGAAGGGATCACATTCATCATTAGTAAGAAACACTTTAAAAACTAAAGGTAAGAAAAGGACCTTTTAAGGGGAATTAATGGATCTACAGCACTACTTATTGAAGCTAAAACCTGGGACCTGTCCAGGAAGACAAAATGTTTCCAGTGCGCTCAGATACAAATCTTGCAAAAGTGTAATGATAATGTTAAACATGGCATCTGCACATGTTTATGCATAAAGCCACATGGAAAAAAGTATCGATTTAACGTGTAAAAACAAACAAACAAACCAAAAAACCCAACAGAATCAAATTATTCCCATCCAAACTGATGTAGTTTAATATCACTCGAATTTTGGGCCATGTTTGGACTGCATTCGTCAAAAATTTACCAGCTCATAACTTCTAACTAATCTCTAAATATAGAGAGAGAGATGAAAGAAAAGCACTTTAAGTGGAATTTAAAAAAAAACAAAAACAAAAATCTTCTGCCTAATTTAATAAATGCTCATATTTTCCCAAAACAAATAATGGAATTACTGCCACCAAATCTGGACTGTGATGGATAATAATGAGAATGTAATCACATTACTGTAATCATTTTTACATGCAATCATTTCCATCTGAACGCTGCAGATTTTTACTGGTATGCTACTTTTTCAGTGAGAGTCTTACTCAAACGTTACGTCCAAATGTCCCAACAAGAAGAAAATGCAAAGTCGTGTTTATGTTTGCATGTAATTCATGTATTAATGTGAAGATCTTTCCCACATGGACAGCATGTGGCAGCAAGCATGAATTCTTGTATCTGTAACACAGCTGAACATTTGTCTGTCTCTGAACACACCCCCGGATCCAGGAGGCTAATGTTACTCACCCTTGCTTGGGCTTCGGACTAACGCCGCGGCAATGCAGCAAATACAACACACAGAACCCCCCCCCAGTCATCAGCCAGCATAACAACACAGCAGCTAACAGCAGTAAACAAGGAAAACAACAACCCACCAACGATACATGTCACCTGTGGAGATCATCTAAAATGACAGCAGGTTCTGCTGAAGGAGCTTTTAAAGTTTTTTGAAGAAAAAAAAGTATACACTATAAAAGTATAGATGTGTATTTGGCTTTGATGGAGTGTGTGTGCATTTTTCTTACCTCCCAATGGTGTTAGGCAGTGAGGTTAGCTGGTTGTCATCTACCTTTAGTGTTGTCAGCTTCTTTAACATTCCTGCAAACACACACACATGCAAAATTACTCTGTTCCTAGAGCAGGGGCCTCAAACCTGTGGCTCAGGTGCTGCAGTACATTCATCTCCACTTGCTCCCTGTGGTTGTTAGAAAAAGAAGATGAATATGGAAATAAACAGGAGTTTAAAAAAACGTATGAGTGTCTCTGGACTGTGGGAGGATTTCCGAGTATCTGCAGAGAACCAAGACACAACCATGACATACAAACTCCACACAGAAACACCTCAACCGTTGGTGTACAGTGACTCTTTACACCAGGGGTAGGCAACTCCAGGCCTCGAGTGCCGGTGTCCAAATGTCAAATGATTAGTTCATTACCAGGCCTCTGGAGAACTTCGAGACATGCTGAGGAGGTCATTTAGCAATTTGGATCAGTTGTGTTGGATCAAGGACACATCTAAAACCTGCAGGACACTGGCACTTGAGGCCTGGAGTTGCCACCCCTGCTTTACATTATCTACAGACTGTGAAAAGCTGACCCTGAATCCTGGCTACACATGAAAAACAGCCAAGCAATGCCACAATCAAAAACAACTGGGGTTTAATGTTTCCAGCGTTTCTTATCGTAACTGCAAATATCTCTGAAAACAATGACCAATTTACTGAACAGTTTCTGATGCTTAGGTTGCAGGTAAACAAGGCACTATTTAGCTCCAAATTCTCTTTCAGCAAACCTCTTGGCAATGAATGGAAAAACACCCCAGTCAGCACAGTCACACACACCTAGGAATTCAAACTACAGCACAGTGATAATGTGTGGCATTTATCGGTAGTGTCAATATGCTTGCAATATTGTGTTAATATAGGGATGGCAATGTCACTATTTTATTAAATAAAATAAAAATACTCTGGGAATATTATGAACAAGAGGGCTCATCGCATGCACCACCATCATGAGATTTTCCAGATTTCCCTAAATCAGCTCTACCGAACTGAAATCAGCTGATTGCAGCTCAAACACACAGGAAGACAAAACATGTTTGTTTGAGGCTTTTTTTCTTTCTATCCGCCTGAAGCTTAGATAAGTGAAGAACCTTTGTCACGACAGTAACAATATAATCATAATTGTATTGTAATTACTGAATGTAATGTATGAATGTAAAAATGTAAAAATGTAATGTGATTAACACGTTACCCCCAACAGTGGCCTTACGGTAGGGTTTGGGAGGTTTTCGTGTCGGTATGCTTGACAATCTCATTTTATGGCAAAAAAATAACTAAAGTGAGATAACTTTAGTCTTGTTGACAAAGTTTAACTCTGATGACAGTTGAAACAATATGATAAATTGAGGTATGGTTTTGCAATACTTGGCATATTGTACAATGTTACTATAGTATCAAAGTATTGATATAATATATTATGGGGTGCCTAGTGATTCCCACCTCTAACAGCCAGCTACCCTCAGTGCTGCTGGTGACTTTTCTGCCTTTTGCCTGTGGCAATAACGCTGTGTGGATAATCATCGCTAAATAAAAATATGCTAAAATATCCAATATTTTATTTAAATATGTGCTGCTGCCCTACTGGTATATACTTAAAATGAAGCTAACAAATTTCCATTTGCTTTCATTACTTTTAAAGTCATTAGGCTACTCAGAGTCTTTGTTTATGTTTGGAAAATGACAGAATTTAGGCTAGCTGTTTCTCTCTGTTTTCAGCATTTATGCAACTTAGCTAACAATGTTAGCTTTACTTATCAAATCTTAAATTGGCCTCCACAAAAGCACAACAGAATGACCAGTTTGGTAAAAGTATAAAGTAGGTAACATTTTCTGAATGACTCATAGTGTTTTTGTGTGCGTTTGCGTGTCCATATGTGTATACCTATAGAGTCAGGAAGGTGCTGCAGCATGTTAGAGGATAGCAGCAGGTCTTCCAAAGCCTCGCAGCCCGAAATGTCCGCGTCCAATGTCTCGATACGATTCTTAGCCAAGTCCAAGTACCGCAACTGACGAAGCTTCCCTATTGACTATTGTGCGGGGAGAAAAGAACAGAGTAAAGACGAATAAGCAGAAATCGGAAAAAAGCATAGACATGTTCAACTGTATATGCTCACATGAAGCTTTTTGTCCCAACTTCTGCTCACCCCTGGTATAGTCTGCAGAGAGTTATTATCAAGCCATAGCTCCTTCAGATTGTGGATCTGTTCCAACACCTCCGGCTGACATGCGAAAAGAAAAACCGACATTTTCACTGAACACACGCTATAAATTATACATTTAGACTTCGCATTTATATTGAGACTACTAATTATGTACAGGTGCAGCCTTTCTTTTCTGCAGTTCATTTACAGATAACACTTTTGGTTGTGTTACTTTATTGTTTAGTAGCTTAAACATACTGTATAGTTCAACCTTTTATGTTTCTGCTTCTCTTAATTTTCCATGTCCACATTTGCTAATTTCATTTCTAAAACATGCCATAGCTGGTCTCACCACTTCAGAAAATTCATTGCTACCCAGATCCAGCCTCTCGAGCTGTGTCAGTCTGTGGATGGACCTGAGAGGAAAGAATCCACTGATTAGTACAGGTTTGCCATTTTGTACATAAATTTAAAATTGTACGCACCAAAGACCTCACAGCACACATTTAAAATTTTAAATACTTCATCTGAATTTGGACACAGTGAATTCTTACGCTGTGACTTCTGACAAACTTACTCAGTTTGTTAGAAGTTTTGAGCCCATGCAAACCCCTGTACTGCGGTGACTTTAGCATGTAGCATACGTATACAGCAGAATTTACTGTTTAGCACAGGCAGAGAACATTTGGCAAGTTTTTCATAGGCACAACCCACATATTGAACTATGCTCTTTAACCCACAGATGCATTTTCCTTACAAATGTGGATCCTTTAAAGGGGAAACTAGCAGGCTTTCCAGTCATATAAGATATATTTCCAAGACGCATTTTTACAACAAAGACATAATCAACTGAACACAAATTTCATTAGCTTTTGTGATTAAGTTTAGCAATTGCATTGGTAGAGTAACTGGCATTAATATTACCACTTTTCACAAGACACTGTTACTGAAATCACTGTTAATCTCCAAGTGCTGTACAAGGTTATTGAGTCTAGAAGCAGTTTGTAGTGGAGCTGTCCTCTGTGGTGATGGTGAGGATAAAGTCAGCTACATAACATTAAACCGCAAACATTTAAAACAGTTATGAGTGACACACTGATGTTATATCAGGCTTCGTCAGTATTTGAAAACAGCTGCAGAGATAAATACAGTTTTTATCCGGGGATCTGGAAATGCAATCGCACACTCAGGAACACATGAGACTAAATGTTTCTCTCGCTCTCTCACACACACACACACACACACACACACACATACACACACACACACACACACACACACATGGCAGTTTGCCTCACTTTGGCATTGTTTTCAGGTGGTTCTCCCTCAGCTCCAGGATCCGTAGTTTGGAGAGTCTGAAAAGCCAGAAGGCACATGAAACTTAATTCAATGCAATAACAATCTATCGACTGCAACAGCTAATGCTTGGGAAGTTACATCAGGTCAAATAAGAGAAACAAGCCCCGTTTAATTTGGTACAAAACAGTGCCAAACCCATTTTGACACTGAAAGCATTACATATGATCAACACCCACTGGTATTCATCCATTCAGAGAATACCTGCAACATATAGATTTTCATATGCTCTAGCAAACAGTAGCACACTATGACCTGCATAAAATGCTAAAATGTATAGTGATGAGGTAAAGATGGATAACTGGTTAACTGGAAACAAATTCATTAGCAAACTGTGAAGGCTAATGAACCTGTATGTGCACAAAAATAGAGACTCTGTTCACCAAAGTACTTAATCACAAGCTATCAGAAACAGTCAGTTTACCTCCCAAAGTTAGCAGGCAGATACTCCAGGAAGGCATCGTTTAAAAAGAGCTGGGTCAGATTCAGGAGCTGCGTAAAACCATCTGGGAGTCTGGGAAAGAAAGACAGAAAGAAATTGTGCAAAACAAGAAAGATGAAAAAGGTGTGCGTCCTTGAACGGCCTCAGTGGAACAAGACACAGACAAAGTTCCCATAACAACCCCTGCAGAAACAGCTAACTGCTGTTAGCCTGCGGATGACTCATCTGCTGCGTGCACACGCTCCCTCACACACACACAGTGACACACACACACACACAAAGCATGGGAAACCTGCAGGATACTGTGTGGTTGACTCTAGTTTTGCTTCGTGGCATTAATACACCGATAAGAAAACAGCAATTACAAGTGTAACACCTGATGCTCAAAGTATAATGATAAACAACACCAGCGCTCTACTGAAATACTTCTGCTGCAGGCCAATACTGATTCTACGGGATATGAATACAAAAGCATGGCTGTACAGGGTTTATGGATGCAGCCAATTATTATAAAATATTCAGCCTCTCTGGTGCTACATAAATATGAATATGTAAAAGCAGGGTGACCTGTAAAAGTGTGAAACGCTGCAATCAAACAAACTTGAACCACGCTTTCCTTTCTTCAACTGAAATTTGCTTCCTAAATATACCCAAGCCAAAGTGAACGTCTTAGAGATGTTTGTTCTTATGATGATGCAGTCAGCGTTTTCACCGTGGTTGTTATCCAGAGGCTGCGTGCTTGCAGTAATTAGATGCACAATGTTCAATTTTTCAACCTAGCTTGTAAACATTAAGGTTGACAGCCATCAAACCAGAGACTGAAGTAATGTGTAACAGGTTCAGCTGTGCAGTAATGTGCAGAGTGTACAGTTTGTGTCTTACTTGGTGATGGGGTTGACACTGGCTTCCACCACAGACAAGCCTTTACAGCATTTTATATTGTCTGGAAACTCCTGGATTCCTGTTTGACAGGAAGAGAGTCATACATGATGTTTAGTTTCACAAAAGTCTGGACCACCTGGTTTTGTTTCTTCTTCTTCGTTGTGAAGTTTCGGTATTGCAATTATAAGGTTTCGTCCTGTTATTTTAAACCAGGGTTGTTTAGGCTGGATACCGTTTTTACTGATGTCTAGCTCTTTCAGGTTCACCAGGCTGGCGATGGTGGTGGGCAGGTTGGACAGGTCGTTATCTGGCATGCTCAGCTTCTTCAAGGCCTGGCAGTTGAAGAGTTGCTGTGGGAACACAAAGAGGGACGATAAAGGAATTATGATCTTGGCAGGAACGTCACCTGGAGGCATGAGGCACTTAATGTTTTTCAAAAAGCTAGGCCACTTTAGCAGCACTTGTCTATTAATAATGCAAATGTAATGTCTTCCCACAGGACAAAACACATTATAGATTGAAAGGAAAAGACATCTAGACAAATGTGCTCCTAAACAGAAAAATTATGCTAATAAGAAAATATATACAAAAATGAAAGAATTTGGGGGTATGTAAATGTGATAAATGCTCTAGGAATTCAGAAATACCCATGTAAAAAATATAACAAAGCAAATGGTCAAAACTAAAAGGTGATTCTTGTATACCAGATTCTAAATGAGCAGCAACACAATGGTTAAGAAAAAACGTAACTAGATAGTAAAACAGCTTCACTCAATCTTAACTCCCTGCATTTTAACAAAACTTTCAATCACTCTTGCTGCCTGCTAGAATCAATAACGGCTGCATTTAACATCCAGAGATAAGGCCAGAGTTTTAGGCCAAATAGTGAAGTATATGGGCTCAGCAAGCATATTACTCTCAATGACCAAGCTAAGCTAACCTTGACAGTTTTTCTACAGACTCACTATGGTATGAAGCCAAAAGGTGTTTCTCTTCATAAATGTATCTGATTATTATATAGCAACAATAAGGCAGCTGATAATAAGCCAGTAGAGCAATAATATTTCAAGTTTTAGCTAATATCAATTTAAAAAATAAACATTGTGCTAGCTACAGTAGCTGGGTTATAATCCTCTTGCTTGCCAATATGGCTATTTTTATATGAATGTCATCAAAGTGGGAATATTTTCATTGCTTAAATATAACAATAGTAAAGCAACTGCAATATTAGCGGTTTTGGTTGCTAAGTAAAAGCTATTATATCCTCCCGAGACCTAAGGAAACAAATATCTTTCAATGTCCTGCCTATTTGGAGCTAAAAGAGGCCACCTGAACACATGAGATATCATTGGAAAGGCCACAATGTCCTCTTCTGAGCGCAACATGACTTATTAGGGTAACGCAAATACATCAAAAGATATAGACCAAAAACAAATGTCTATTAAAGAAGACATAAAAGAATGGGCTGGTTTTCAGGAAGATATGCTAACAGCTATTGTCAAGATAAAATGACAAATTTGCATACCCTGAATTAATGTAGTCTCATATACAATACAGTCTCTCTAAACTTCTTCCCAAACTTATAGAAGAATTGAACATTGAACGTTCTTAGTGTAGTACTTGCACTTTTAGTTTTATGCAACATGACCCTCATGAATATACAGTAATTAGCCACACCAAAAAAACCCAATAGCATACAAAGTGGATTAAACTAATAATCTTATTATTTTGCAATGGCTTTTTGGAAAATTGGGTCCCTGGTCCCAAAAGGTTGATTCTGTTCATCTGGACAAAGCGTTTTCAATGCAAGAAATGTTTCGTCACTCATCTATGTGACTTTTTCACTCTAAGCTGACTGCAGGTTTCCCCAGTCTTATAAACAGTACATTGCACAATAACTGTGAGGTCAGATCATTAATATGTAATGTAACGTAATGTAATGTGTTAGTCCCCATAGGGAAATAGTTCCTCTGCATTTAACCCATTCACCCAGTGAAGCAGTGGGCAGCCACCAATGCAGTACCTCAGGGTAGCAGTTCAGTGGAGTTGAACCCCCGACCTTCCAATCATGGGGCCACCACTCTACCTACTGAGCTATCCCTGCCCTTGCAGGGATGCAAATTCTCATGACCATTGATGGACAACCACTGATCAAAGACTATTGATCATTGATCAGTACTCATGGCCATTGATCAGTGAGATCAATGGCCATGAGTACCATTCACAGAGAGTTGAGGAATGGCTGCAATCACAGCATGTAAGATGGCAAAAATGTACCCTCAGGCCCCCTCCTCGATTCAGAGATGGTCTTTCCCTTTTCACGTAAATGGCCTCCTTGACGCCCCGTTCAAACCAGTGTTCCTCCCTGTCCAGGATGCGTGCATCCTCATCATTGAAAGAGTGTCCACTGGCCTGTAGGTGTAAATAGACTGCAGAGTCCTGACCTGACGAGTTTGGTCTTCTGTGTTGTGCCATCCGCTTTGCCAGAGGTTGTTTGGTTTCCCTGATGTATAAATCCTGGAAGTCCTCCTGGCACTTAACAGCGTACATTATGTTACTCTGTTTGTGTCAGGGGACCCGATCCTTGGGGTGGACCAATTTTTGGTTCAGCGTTTTTTGGGGTGTAAAAGCCACAGAGACACGGTGTTTAGAAAAAATGCGTCTCAACTGCTCCGATACTCCTGACACGTATGGGTCACTAAGGCTTTTCGCTTAGGCAGCAGTTGTCCTTCTCTTCTGGATCAGCTGGAACTTTCTATAGGTGCCTTCCCAGCTTTGACAAAAGTCCAGCTGGGATAACCACATTTACTCAGGACCTTCTTGATGTGATGTGTTCTATGCTACTTTAAAAAGTACTAGCTAGCTGTAGTATATTGTTGCAAAACCCTCAAAACATTTGAAGAGGCAGCAGCCTCTTTCCTGCAGATCAATGTGCAAGTTTTTGGGCTGTGGGAGGTACCTAGAAAGAAACTACGGCAGCACGGGCTCCACACAGAAATAACCCTCACCACATCTAAAACCACTTCTTGCTACGTAGTGAAAGTGCTAATAACTGCACTACCGTGCCACTGTTCCCAAATCCAAACTTGATCAAACATCTGGGCTTATTCAGGATCCAAAGACTCTGCTGCCATCACTTGTAGACCAACGTCAAGTGACACATCTATGGTTTCCTTGTCCATGCCCAGACATACCAAAGCTACTTTGGAGGCATGTTGGGGGAAGAACTGACCCAATCTTAAGCAGGTGATTTTAATTCTGAAGATCATATATATTTTTGTTATTTTATTGACCAGGCAATATGTCACCTTCATTAATTCTAGGACATTCTCTTCAGTAAAAAGTACAGCACATAAGCCACAGCATATATATTCTAAAATGGACAAATCTGCTCTGAGTGGAGAGGTCACAGCAGGCCACTGTAACAGAGCCTTCTAAACAATCACACACATGTAGAAGCTGCCCAACTCACTCACATTGGAGCCAGAGACTTAATATGCATTGCTGGCACAGACATACATTGTCAAGACTGAGCAGAATGTTTTTGTGCAAGTTAAATGCGAGGTCGCACATCTCATCTCATACATCCTTATTAGACTGTCTCCATTCATGCTGGCTATATTTAGAAATCTAATTCAACATCTTTGTCATTTAAACCAGGCCAGGATATCCATAAAATGTGACGGCCCTTTAATAAGCAGCACCTGTAACTCTCCTTGAAATTTTAGAAGGGCGTTCTGCATCAGCAGTCCCCACGTGGGCTGCTTCTGTGCAGCTCCCAGTGTGAACTCATATTAATGTATCAATATTGCCCAGTAAGGGTATCGCCACAAAATAGTGAGAGGGCATTTTAAGTTAGCATCAGTGTTTCACATCCGAAATCCAAATTCGAAAAAATCATAAACAAAGCAACATGACTAATGGTCAGCATCGCATACACAACTGTACAAAAAAGGTGCAGAACTAGCTCAATAAACCTGAGTGGGTGAAGTGAAAAGGCAGTTTGTGATCCCTAATTGTTACTCAGGGTACCAGTGGATGAACAGCTATTAATTGTGAATTTGATCAACTGTCAGAAAAAGCAGATTTTAGTTTAGTAGTAAAAGCTTAATAGTAGAAGAAGAAATTTTAAAAAAGGCATAAGGATTAGTAAACCCCCCAAAAGAGGTCAGTAAAAGGAAGAAGAGTTATATCAGGAAAAAATTAACATATGACTCAGGGGTACCTTGGGTAATTCCTCAATCTGGTTGGCATCTAGGTAGAGCTCCTCCAGAGTTCTCTCAAAGCTGAAGATTTCCTTGGGGACCTGCTGCAGGCTGCAGTGGGAGTAGTCCAACACTGAGATCACTTCCTCTTCACCACGGAAACAACGGCACGGCACCAGCCGGCCAATCAGCTTCCGTTTAGTGGTCATTTCCAGACACTGCACTGAAATGGCGAGAAAAGGAGAGAACAGACATGATGTTAGAGGCCTTTAAGGTTCAGCAGCTCGTGATTTTAACAGGCTTGTTGTACCTGTTTCTTATTAATTATATTATTTTTAATTTTTAGATATTCTATATGTAATTTAAACTGTTTTCTCTTTGTTTTATATTTGTAGAACTTTGGCCAACACTGTTGGATGTAAAGTGCGTTATAAATAAAGATGCTATGCTATGCTACCTGATGGAGTTCTTCTGTGTAGAACCTTGTCAGTCTGATAGCATCATTAACAGTATATGGGCAGACTAGCGTACTAAAAGACAGGCTCTGATATAAGAAACTAGTTATACAAAGTGTTTCGATAGTGAAAAAATCGTGAGTGGGGTTTTCTATAAAACGTGGGAAACAAATTCTAAAAACTACGTGATAAAAAATGTGAGTTGCATTCATTCACAGTGACAGATTTTGCATCTTTTGATGAGTAATGAAATAAATAAATGCACAAAGAAACATTTTCACAATCCACCTACTGCAAAATTATTCATACTGTGCAGAAGGAAAAAATGTGCCTATTTGAATCTCAAGGTGCAAAAAACAATGTGTTAAACACAGTGGGATCAGATATAGGAGCTTTTCATTGTACAAATATCATCTGCAAGCCTTGCATACACTGGAGGACTGTTCATCTTATGCATAGTGAGCCCTCCACAGCCTTGCAGAGGATGAGAAACCAGTGGTGACCAAATGGTTTGCTGAGTCACGTTAGTGTGTCTTGGGATTTTGTAGCAATCATGCATTATTACTGCAATATAATTTTTAATGAATTACTGACTTGTTCTATCTGTAGGCACTCTGTAGTTCCTCATAAATACAGAAGCAAGCTGTCAAAAGTAATCAAGCCTGCTCAGACTTGATCCCACCAAATGGTGGTAATTTATACAGTGTGACACATCAAAGCCCCAATTCATGACAAGAAGAATGACAAAATATGTGACACAAAAATTTGATCACTTCCTGTTTTTTGAGAAAACTACAACTAACAACACTTTGATCCCCACCAAAAACCACCTGAGGAAAAGCGAGAACAGTATCAGCAGAAACTAAGCTTCAATAGCTTCAGTCAAGTCTGGGGTGACAAGAGTTCCTCGGTCCAAATTCATCATCAAGCTTAGTTAGCTAACAGTAACAAGCATGAAAAGAAACTAGCATTCCTTTGAGGCTGAAACCAGAAACGTTTGATGGACTGTGTAAAAGTCTCATAAATGGTGAGGCAAGTCCATATTGGTGTCTTTTGCTACAGAAAAAATAATGCAAGTGTACCAGATGATAACAGATGCTGCAAATACACATAGCACCCTCATCTGACCATGGAAAGAAGGGAAGATATCGACTGATAAAGAGAGAGGGGTGAGCAACCTTTACTTTCAACAGAGTAATTTCTGAAATGTTTGCCCTTCTCAACCTTCAAATCAATGCAAAGCCAGTGAAGGGCATTAGACACTAGCTTAGGCTTCAAATGCTGTAGTTCAATTTAATTCAGTTTAATTTATACAGTGACAAATCACAACAACAGTGCTTCATAATGTAAGGTAGACCCTACAGTAATAAATACAGAGAAAACTCCAACAATCATATGACCCCCTAAGGGCAAGCACTTTGGCGACATTGGGACGGAAAAACTCCCTTTTAACAGGAAGAAGCCTCCAGCAGAACCAGGCTCAGGGAGGGGCGGGGCCATCTGCAGTGACCGATTGGGGTGAGAGAAGGAAGACAGGATAAAGACATGCCGTGGAAGAGAGCCAGAGAATAATAACAACTATGATTCAGTGCAGAGAGGTCTATTAACACATAGTGAGTTAGAAAGGTGACTAAAGAGGAAATACTCAATGCATCATGGGATTCCCCAAGCAGTCTACACCTACTGCAGCATAACTAAGAGAGTTATGCTGCATTAGTTATGCTGGGCTTAAGGGCCTAATCCTAAAGGTAGAGATAGGGTCTTCCAGACACAGGATGTGTGTGGTATGGTTCATGGTTTTTCTATAAAAATACTGGACACAAAACATTATTTTTACTTGTGAAAACATAAACAATATCAGATTTTGTTATCTATTCATAATTTGGTTAGTGGTATACAACATTAATAATAAGATAAGATAATCTTGATGTCCAAAATTAGTGAGCTGATCCTTTTAAATCTAAACCATAGTTCAAAATCAGCATACAAAGTATTTTAATCTGCACGTACCAAATCGTTCTGTTGGCTCGAGCCTCTCTGTGTGGTGTCAAGTTTGAACGTTCTCCTCATCCTGACTCTTAATTGAGTTTGTGTAAATGTGAGTGTGGCTGACTGACAACCCTGTGAGAGACAAAAATAAAGTAGTCTACCAAAAAATATGAACGCAGTGATCTAAAATAGCTGAATGATTATTTGAGCTTTTTCTTACACTGAATTTGAATGAACTACTGCTGTACTCAGATTTGAGTCCATGGTCAAGTACAGGAATCAGTGCCCACATCCTTTTGAAATAGACCGACTCTGAGCCAGATCAGACATGGACACTGCTAAAGGTTTGCTCTTACAGTAAAATTAAACTAATGTGGGTATTGACACTAAGTGTCCCCGTCCAACCAAACCAAAACTGCAGGTGAAGTCGTATTATAAGTGACTTTAAAGAACGATATCATTTACACTAGCACCACATTTTTGTGAAGTGAGACATATTAACTTCACGTAAACTTTGACATTTTTGCATAGATTAAGGAATGTGGATTTTCCTGCTGTGGATAGGAGAAAAAAACTGCACCAATGTAAAAGACCATGTGTACGGTGGCCCTGTGAGTTCAAATGCACTGAAATAGAAAAAGGCTGCAAAAACAACAGAAGAACAGAAAAAATAATGCAGTAAAAGTTCACAAAGAAGAACGAGAGAAGTGTTTTGGGGAGACAAAACAGAAAACGGCTAAAAGCAAACAAATGTTTACAATATTATATGAATTATGTGATTAAAACACACATTACCTTGCATCTTTTTCTGAATCCTTTTCAAGTATGTCTCAGTAAATTCTTTTACATGTTTTGGTTTCTGTCACTTCCACAACTTTTCCATCTTACCTAAAAATCCATCAGCTGTGTTTTGTGAGTTTTGTTTTTTTCCCCTTCCATTCTGTTTTTTTCAACTTTTATTCAGACCTTTATGTTTTGTTTTTGTTTTGTGTTTTAATTCAACCATGTTGAACAGCCACTGTACATATTGGATATGTGAAGATTGTTCCAAGGTAGAGAAAAATGTGAAATTATACTTTAGGTCACAGGTGTTGAAGGACCCACATTAGTTTAAAAGCTTCACATGACTGTCAGGCAGATGTAAAACTCACATGGCAGATGGGTATCACAGTGATCCCCCGCCAACCAGCAGTTACCCAGTTCACAGCAGGCTGAGGCTCGGCTCGCTTTGTCTCACACACACACACACACACACACACACACACACACACACACACACACACACACACACACACACACACGGTCTTTTCAAACAACAAGCCAGAGCCATATAATTAGACCGAATCCTTTGTAATTCTGCGACAACATCACTCCATTACACAACTCCATTTAAAAAGCTTGTGGCTGAATGGCATAAGTAGGCTAACCATGGTTATTAAAGTCCTTGAGTGAGGACTCATCATTCAGCTTTATCATTGCAAACCCACTCGCTCGCTGCGCTCAATCTATTGACAAATAAAGACATTTTAACGCCAGCCCTTTCAAACGGAACAAAGAGCGAGTTTTCAGTGATTGGACTTCAATTTCCTGCTTGATCTTCAACTGCCATCGAGCACAACAGCAACTGGATGCGATGAGAAGCTGCACAGCGGCATGAAAAGAAAGAGATGAGGAAACTAAAGAGAGAACGTGAAAATAAGAAGGTGTAGAGAGCAGTGAGAGGAACACCAGGAGGCTCAGAGATAAGACCTGCAGCTTTATCTGGCTATAAACACACACATGTCCAGCACAGTGAGACCAGATGAATTCAGACGATAGAGAGAGTAATCTTGAACATTGCGAGTACACTGTGTTATCTGCTCTAGCTTTTTGCAAGCCACTGAAATCAGATAAAAAGGTCGCAGATCCTGCAGGACTGTTTATCTAAAAGGACTGGACCATTAAAATCAATGCATCCTTATCCACAGTCATGCTCAGTGCAGGTGTAATGAGGCCAGCTGACATTTACTGTTTGCCTATTCTATGTGTAAACCCGGCAGTCAGTGCTTCTCACGATGCTGTTTGGCGGCGGCTTGTCTGTGTATTATTTTTTACCACAGATACTCGGCCACTTCAGTAGTTACACCTGCCTTAATTATTTGTGAAATAGATTCAATAAAATGCTTGAAACATTCCTCAAAGATCTTTGTCCATGTTGATATGATAGCATGTCATATTTGCTGCAGATTTATCAGCTGCACATGCACAGTGTGAATATGCTGTTACACCACATCCAAAACGTGCTCTACTGGATTAAAATCAGGGCCATCGGAGGCCATTGGAGCCTAAACTGGGCTTTGTGACATGGCATGTTAGCTTGCCGGAAGAATCCATTAGAAGTTGGCTACACTGTGGTTGTAAAGAGATGGACATGGTCAGCAACAATACTCAGGTAGGTTGTGGTGTTTAAACAAGGCTCAGTTGGCACTAATGGGCCCAAAGTACAACGAAAAAATATCTTCCACACTATTACACCACTATCATCCTGAAATATCGATACAAGGCCAGATGGATCCATGCTTTACTGCTTTGCAGTTTCTGAAATGTACCGAGAACTTTACCACATTCAAAGTCACTAAAATTACTTTTCTTCCCACATTCAACATTTCTGAATGCAAGCAGTTGCTGCCATGTGACTGGCTAATTTGTGTTAATTAGGTGTACCTAATAAAGTGGCTGGAGAGTGTAGTTTTAAAGCAAATAGCGTGGATGCTATTAAGAAAGTGTAAGAAGTTTTAAC